ATATAGCTGTAGTAATGCATATCAACTGAACATCAAGTTGCATGCTAAGTTGCTTCAGTCGTGCCCGACTCTTTGGCAACCCTATGGACTTAGCCCTCCAGGCTCCTCTGTCCATGGGATTTTCCAGGCAAGAATATTGGAGTGGGTCGCCATGCCCTCCTCTAGGGAATCTGTCCAACCCAGGGACTGAACCCACATCTCCTGCATTGGCAGGCAGGTTCTTTACCACTAGTGTCACCTGTGAAGCCCAGTTGAATATTAAATTGGCTTAGGCCAAAAGATGGGGACAGCCTGTGTAAGTGATACAGCAGAAAAGCCAGATCAGGGCCACCAATAGTGTCAAGGCCCTCCCTGAACTTACACGCACAGAAATGAATGAAAGACCTCTAAGGTGAAGAACTCTGTAACCTCACAAGTATGTTTCCAAAATCTACCTTTGCGGCTCCATTTACTAGGATAACGGTGCATTGCAGAAAGACAGATATGCTTAGTTGCTTCAGTTGTGTCCGATTCTTTGTGACCCCATGGACCGTAGCCCACCAGGCTCCTCTGTCTATGGGATTTTTGAAGAATACTGGAGTGGGTTGCCATTTCCTTCTCCAGGAGATCTTCCCAACTCAGGGATTGAACCTGTGCCTCCTCCATCTCCTACACTGCAGGTGGATTCTTTAGCACTGAGCCACCAGGGAACTCCTAACCACCAGGCATTTTGGAAATCATCTGGCAACAGCTCTGAAACCATGGTGGTCTATGGCACAAAGCATAGAACCCATTGTCTAGTTATCTTCATGGTGAAGAGTTAGAATTGATTTCTTCATCATCTATGGCAACATCCCCACATTGGATCCATGATGCATAGAATAAGAGTTATTCTGACTGGAGTACCAAATGATTTGCCAAGATAAATCCTACTATCAAAAGCTTTAAAAGCAGCACAGGTGTGATTCTTATCACGTCTGGACTTAAATGATCTTTGGCATGTGCAGGAGACAGATAGGGCTTTAGGAATGACAGCATTATGTTTATTAATCAGATTGTAATTCTAACTGTAGCTGTTGTCAAACAGGTTCTCTTTCTTGGAGCAACTCAGTAGGTAGGTATTAATTTGTCCAGTGCATTTTTTTGTTTTGTCTTTATTCCAGTAAGGAGAAGACACTTGTAGCCGCAGTTTATTGATAACCAACATTAAAGATTGTCTTCTCTTAATGTTCCATTAACTTCCTGTGTGCCATTATATAATTCTTTTTTTTTATATATAATTCTTGGTATTAGACCTTGATCATCTCAGTATCATACAAGGCATCATGCTGGACTAACACATTGATGATATATGCTCATAAGACCTGGAGCACAGGTGTAATTAGCTTCTCTGGATACCCACTATGATATATATCTGGCTGGACAGTACAAGGTAAATCCCATGAAAGCACAGGAGCCTGCCACCTCAGCCAACTTTGTGGTGGTCCAGTTTCCTGGTGTATGTTGGAATGTTCTGGCCATAGTGAAGAACAAATTGTGTGCTCTATTTCGCCTACAACGGAGGAGGACCTTCAGTGTTTGGTGGCTTTCTTTGAATTTTATGTGCAGTGCTCCAGCCCATTTATTGGTTAATCCAAATGCTTCTAGATTTAACTGGGCTCAGGGGAAAAAAGAAAAAAAAAAAAAAAAGCCTCTCCAGCTGAATCAGGTTGCAGTGAAAAGTGGTTCTACCATGTGGACCCTATGAGGGAGATCCAATGGGCTGAGAATTTTGAGCAAATTAGGATTTTATATAAAATCAGGATTTTTGAGCAAACCACACTCCCTTCAGAAAATACCTGTTCTTTCAACTTATTACTGGGCCACTTGAAGTAAAAGAAAGAAAATTGTCCTGCTCAAGAGGGTTATATGAAGGCCTCAGATAGGCTTCTGCAAAGCCTTCTCAAGTTCTCAGAAGGATAGCTTGTAAGCAGTCATACAGAAACTTAAGTTCACAGGCAACAAATTTCTGCTTTATATAGCAATGTTTTTGAAGTCCTTGTGTTATGGTGTGTCAGCTCACCAGACCCACTCTCCAATCCATTATATGAGTATCCTCTGTCCTTGGCCTAACAAAATAGGCCAGCAAGGAATGAAGAGCAGAGAATATACTTGAAGAAAAACTGATTTAATTCAGTAAGCTTTAAAAAGACACAAGCATGTATAGTGAGCATTCTTTCCAAATGAACATTTTAAACATATATGTATACAGTATCAGGATTCTTGAATGACAAGTAACAGAGGCTGATTCTGCCTCTCAAGAAAAAAAAAGGGGGGGGGGGGGCAGATGTTAGGTGTTAATAGCTCACAGGAGGTTTTGGTCAGCTGCGCATTCCATAGGCCAGGAAGAAAGGTGGCATTGGGGATCCTAGCAGCAAAAGTTCAAAACCATCTCTCCAGGAGACTGCCAGCTGGATTCCAGCCACTTCTCCCAGAGAAGGGGAGTTTCCCCAGTGTGTGTGTGTGTGTGTGTGTGTGTGTGTATGTGTGTAAACAGGTACCTGCTCCTATGAGGCTGGGCATACAAACCAGCAGTGTATCTACTCTAGAATACCTACAAAGCTGAGCTTTGAATTATCACTACATGAAACATATATATTCCTATAAAATCTACATTTCTACTATTAGTGCTTCTGCGATGGTTGGATGGCATCACCAAAGTGATGGACATGAACTGGGCAAACTCCGGGGATGGTAAGGGACAGGGAATCCTGGCATGCTGCAGTCCATGGGGTTGTGAAGAGTTGGACGTGACTCAGTGACTGAACAATATTAGTGCTTCTGATAGGGGGAAAAAAAAAATTGGCACATGCTTCTATTGGACATGTCAAAGTAGGTCCTGAAAACAGAAATAGCTCCAGAAGCAGTAAAGCATTCAAAAACCAGAATTTATTACCTTCATTTGAGTGATGTAAGATTTTTGTTCCATATTCTTTAAACTTACCTTTCTGTGACTACTTTAGCTCATTTAATCATAGAAAACACTGAGTGGCTTGGGCATATACGAGATGAATGGCACCTATTACTGTCTCAGTTCAAAGGGGAAAAAGTTAACAAAGTTAGTATCTGTTTAAGGCCTGAACCCTTGTGAATGCTAATACTTCTTGATGGCTCTGGGAGATGATATAGGCAGGTGACTCCCATGCTGTGTTTTCAGTCCCAGTAAAGACTGAGAAACGAGTCTTTGGCAATGTCAGTCCTACTTCTTCCCTTCGAACACAGGGAAAATGAGGCCCCAACGTGAGTCCCAGCCATGTGCAAAGCCAGGATTAAAACCCGAATGGGCAAGCTGGATGAGCAGGCAAGGCAGACCCACGATAAGGGTCTTGGTGTGTGGGTCCGAGTTGCGCCCTGAAAGGAAACTCACTCTGATGAGCTGAGTAGAGCTCAGGCAGGATAGAGTGGACCCTGTTCCCAGGCCTCATGGTCAGGACACTCAGCTTAGCACAGGGTCTGCTATCTTGTCACGTCCTGGCCCTGCCCGAGGACACGTGTCTGGGTCCTAGACACAGAGGAAAACCAGACACTGGAATGGACTGTTTCGTCAAAGATTCTATAAGCGCCGCCAGCACATGTAGCAATTTTGGCATCTAACAGCATCCCGAGATGGGGAGTGAGGCATTCCGTCCATGTCGCTGAATCTCAGCCCCCAACTCTGGGGACTAAGGGGTATCAGTGGACTGCCTGTCACCCAGCAGGAGAATGGACTGCTCCCCGGGAAAGGGCAGTAGTAAAGAGAGATCAAGACCAAGAAACCAGAGAAAACCGAGTAGAGATAGCTCAGGAATGTCCTTCACCGGAGGGGAGACTCCCAGAAATTCCTGGCGAGGGGTAGATGCCTTGTAATAAAAAGGTTTGGTAAGAGCTGCTTAAACAGGGGCTATTATTGTTCAAATAAACTCTCATTTTGACGAAGGCTGGTGAAGACTGTGGAGCTTGAAATTTTCAGGGGAGATGGTGGTGACATCACTTTTGACCTCTAGGAAGTTGACAGTGAAGGGCCATCCACACTGGTCCTTCCCAATGCCCTTTCCCCATAGAACGATGCAAACCGGCACAGGAAGAAGACCCAAGTGCACAATCTGTGGGACACTGTGTGCACAAGAAACCATATTTGGTTCTGAGAAGAACCCAACTAAGAATATTGGTACATGATCCTCAGTATTACTAAGCAATCGATGTACACAACACAGGGCAGAGTGTCACCACCGTTACAGTTAGCATTTGATTTTACTGAAAGGAAAAACCCCACATAGAAGAGTTTAAGAAATGTGTAAACACGTGTTCTCTCTTAGTTCCTATTTTTAACTTGAGAGAAATGTGTGGTGTCCCCAGCCTGCTAGCAACAGGAAAAGGAGAAATGTTAATATTTATGAGTTCATAGCTGCAGTTTGGGAGAAGGCAATGGCACCCCACTCGTCCTCTTGCCTGGAAAACCCCATGGACGGAGGAGCCTGGTGGGCTGTAGTCCATGGGGTCGCGAAGAGCCGGACACGACTGAGCGACTTCACTTTCACTTTTCACTTTCATGCACTGGAGAAGGAAATGGCAACCCACTCCAGTGTTCTTGCCTGGAGAATCCCAGCCTGGTGGGCTGCCGTCTATGGGGTCGCACAGAGTCGGACACGACTGAAGCGACTTAGGAGCAGCAGCTGCAGTTTGACCACGGCCATTCAGCTGGGCTTTGAAAACGCTTCTTTAATCAAATTAGCTTCACTGGTTAAGACTGACAGGCTTTTATTAGTTTACCACAAAATAGTTTTCAATTAACACCAGAACACAGAGGTAACATTGCCATCACACTGTTACAAAGTTAAAAGGCTTATGTGTTTGTTTCAATACCAGGGAAAAATACTGGAGCTAGGTTCCCCATCCAGGATGCTAACCAGCTACTGGTCCTTTTATTTTGCTCTTATTAATAGAAATATAACTTAGTGAGCTTAGTTATGTAGGCCTCTTCACAGAGGCCTCTTCATAGCTTCCTAGGAGTCAGAACTTTTGCTTTCGATACCGAATAATATCTGGAAAACATGCTCACTTTTGTGTTTTTTGAGAAATTCCAAGAACTGGCCCAGATTCATGTGATAGTCATTCCTCAAGCCGTAGTCACCGTGGGCCTCAAGGAGTAATTCTTCAAAAGAAGGGAAAAGGCGCAGGTCTTGCCCGTCTCCTTCTGTTTCGATACTCTCCGCATGCTTACAGGAAATGTGCTTCCAGTTGGGGTACCTGATTGTGTGCCAGAATTCCTCACAGTGCTCTTTGAAGCCCTCCACACAGATTATCCCTGGCTTTCCCGTCATGCAAAATCCTGTCACGTCCAACCTTTTCCCGACCTCCAGGATCTTTTTCCGGAGGTCCTGCTGATATATATGGTGGCTGTAGATCCACATTCGGAGGAAGGTGTTCTTGACTGGTTTTGCTTGTGTCGATGGTTCGTCCACGAGCTTTCTGTTCAGGAAGTAGGAGGTGCTGTTGTCCTGCAACCACTGGATGGCCGCACACACACAGAGCTCCCCTGGATCAAAAGTCCCGATGTAAGAAGTGAGGCCTCTGTTGAGAAGCAGCTGCTGCTGTCTATCAAGTTCTGGTGACCGTGCAAACATCTGCAACGCTACATAGGGGTAGCTGTGAGGCATGGTTACTTGCAAGTCAATTTTCACCTTAAAATGAAAGGCAAATAGATATAAGTACCGTAAAATCACATAAGCTAGTTTATCAATGGCCACCGCATGATTCTGATCAAGGTATCAACAATAGTTACTGCTTCTGTTACATGTCAGCTGTGTGCCAGACACTGCACAACTTGACAAACACAATTTTACACACAGACATAAACTCCTTCCATTGATGCAATCATTCCTTCCAATATTCATCAAACACTGACCACGTGTCAGGTACCCTATGCTGAAAAAAATATTTCAAGATATTTCTTCTCCACAAGAAGCTAGACATTAGTTCTGTCCTTCATGAAGTCTAGAGCCTAGTGAAGGGGGCAGACATTAAACAAATCATTACATGCAGCAAGTATTTCATTGCAAAGCTGAGAAGCACTGCCATGGAAGAGTGGAGGGATCCACTGAAATGTGTAACCAGAGGGGCTGCATGAGGTCTGGGGAGCCAGGCAGTCTGCTCTGAAGGAATGATGACCCAAGGCTGAATAAGAAGTAAACAACAGTGGTTCTCAAACGCCTGGACCACTTGTTACATGGGCTATGCTAACACAGCTGGAGATGAACAGATCAGAAAATGAAGGTCAATTCATTTTCAGAATTTAGATTTTCTATCTGTATTTGCTTTCAGGGTCATGGTGCCACCGAAGAAACAGTCATTCACTCCTTAAAAACAGTGCTGCCAAAAAGATAACATTTAGATCTGGGGAAATCATAACATATGTACAAGATAGTCCATACCACAGTAGTAGGACTAGTTAAACTGGATAAGTGACAGAATAATGGCACTATAAGACTGCAAGATGTGTTTACTAAAAACACTAGCCATACTGGTTTAAAAGGTGAGCATACGTATGTAAATTCAAGATCTTTATTGGAGACAACTAACATCCCATATTTTCCTTTCAAACAAGTAAAGGAAATATGCATCTGGAATATTCTCTATCTGCTTCTTGGAGAGGAAGCTCAGGCTCCAAGTGTTTTCAATGAAACCCGGGAACCTGGCAACAAGGAAAACAACTCAGGGCACCTACCTTGGGCTCCTCGATCTGCAGGGTGATCACAAATTCGATTTTTGGTGGCAGCGCCTCCCTTATGCCATCCAAGTATCTCTTTATGTTTGTCAGGGCATTGACATCTTCAAGTTTTACTTCTCCTTGGTTAGGAAACATAGAAAACAGCATTTCCATCTCCAGCAGCTGAAGCTGAAGGCATTCCTTCATTGAAGCCGACATGCTGAGTCGCAATCAACCTGCCAGGAGAACTGGAAAGGCCCAGGGACGCTGGGTTTGTCAGCGTCGGCGGTGTCCAGGGAAATTTCCCGCAGTTCCCTCTCCGTGGTAGCCGCTCTGCAGGAGCGCTATTACGCACCGAGAGCTATGGGCACAAAGCGGGACACTTAAACTCTTCCGCTTTATTTCCTGACCCCCAAATCTAGCATACACATCTCCCAAGATGCGTCGTTAAAATTCAGATTCTCTTTTCCCCCGCCCCCCCGCTTCCAATCTAGGTCCAGGTAATCTGGATTTTCAACAAGTGTTCGGAGTTATCCCGTAGCAGACGGCTGGCAAACACCACCTGCGGACACTGCAAGCTTGAATTCTGGGAAGGGCGAGGGGCCCAGCTTCCAAATCCCACCCAGGTGTGGGGCTTGGGCGGCGGTGTCCGCAGCGACCAGAGAGGCCCGCAGTATCGGCGAGGTTCCGGGGTCTTTCGGGCCCCGCCGCGCTCCACGCCAGTTGCAGCCCCCGCGGCCTCTGCGCCACGGACCCCTGCCGGGTGGGCCTTTCGCCTCTCCCAGGAGCCACTCCGGACCCGGACGGCAAATGTGAGTCCCGACGATTTGGATCCACCTGGCTTCTGCCCCCTGGGGTTCTGCCTTAATGAGAGGGGTCTTCCAAGTAAATAAAATGACGTTTAATGCGGGGAGGGGAGGAGCGGCTCGAGAAAGCTTCTCAGAAGAAAACGTTTGGGAGATGAACCTCGAGACTAGAGAAGTAGGATGCCGGGAACCGAGTGGCGCTCACTGGGGCTGGGACCACCTTGTTAGCGGTCCCGTTTCGGGGCTTGTACCCGCTCCCCACTCAGGACCACTCGGAACCCCGCCTTCCCAGGAACGTGGGCCTGCCACCCTCTGACACCCGAATTTGGAGTCAGGGGCTGCGTTTGTTTTTTTTTTGCCGGTCGCAGCGCTCTGAGGGCCCGCGACCCTCAGCCCCAACCCCCGGGCCACCGCGGGGGCCTCACCCTTCCTGGTCATTCAAAGGGAAACAGCCCCAAACCCTCTCGCAACCTCGCAACGCGGATCCGCAGTTCCGCAGGCGCGAGCCGCGCGTGACGGGCGCGGAGGCGGGGCGGGGCCAGCAGGCATTCCCCCGTGCTGATTGGCTGAGGGGCGGGGCAACAAGCCGGAAGCCACGCAGAGCCACGTCTTCGGAGTCTCAGCGCCGCAGTCAGTTCCCGGCGCCGCCGCGAGGAAGGTGGTCCGCGTGGTGGGGGTGAGGGGAGTGTGTCGGTGGAGGTGAGCGGGGCCCCGAGGCTTGGCGGCGAGAACGGGACGTTGCGGTGGGCGGGGATTCGGCCGCCCGAGAGGATAGTGGGCAGGCTGGCGGACTGAGCTGCGGGTCGCGAGGGACACGCCTACTCGTCCCGGGCTGGGGAGCGGGCTGGAGGCTCGGGCCCGAGAGTCGAGCTGGGGGAAGGGGTCTCGTCCATCACCTCAGTGCGGGCCACAAGGCTGGGTGCCAGGAAACGTGGGAAGATTCAGGGGCGAGGAGAGAGGAGAACTAACTAGGTGCTGAAGGTTGAATAGAGGGAAGGGGGTCGTTCTTAGCTTTTTTGAGTGGTCACAGTTTGGACTTGACAGTACTTTCAATAAACACCTTTGCATACTCATCAAAAGTAGTTTTAGGACATAAAACGCTTGAAATGATGGAAGCATTTTATCTTGACTTTTTTTTTTTAAGACTTTTGGACGAAACAGGTTTACGCCCTTATGAATAATTATGGTATATTGCCAACTGGTCAGTTTTTATTGAAATGTCTTCATGCTTGAAAAATATATTTGATCACTCTGGGTCAAACTAAATTAGCTTCCTAAATGCCAGTTTTTTTCAGCTGAACAAAATAAAATGTTCATTGAAGCAATGAAGGACAATAAAGAGAACAGGGAAGTCTAGTGGGCTACAGGCTGACTTTTGACTTTAAACAGGGAAGTCTAGTGGGCTACAGGCTGACTTTTGACTTCAAAATTAAAGATAAAAGGAAGATGTTGCTTGTTTCAGAGCTTAATTTAGGAGGGCGTCAGGATCTTCCCTTATGAAAATACAAAAATCCACCCCATGGTGTATGTGGAGGTCTGGACAGTCTTGGAGAGGAGGCTTTCCCCTTTGCTTTTCCTTTGGGAATCAGTCTCTAGCCTGGGAGGAATAGCAGAACTTCAAAGATTTACCAGATATTTTGCATATGCAGCTCAGGTCCACTTGAGAATGTGACTTTAGGCCTCAGTCCATCAGCAACTCTCCATGTAAAATTTAGGTTGTATAAGCTAGAACCAGAATTACGTTTTCCTTTGTATGAAATTAGATGATCCCTGATCACGTAGGATTTTGTGAATCGTAAATGGTCATATGTGTGGATTTATTTCTAGGTGCTCTTGTTCTATTCCATTGATCTTTTTTTTATACCAAGGCCATACTGTTTGGATTACTGTAGCTCTGTAGTGTGCTTTGAAATCAGGGAGTGTGGTGCCTCCAGCTTTGTTCTCAAGAGTGCTTTGATTATTCAGCATCTTTTGTTGTGCGGTGGAATCTTCATGTTAGTTGGGAGTGGACTGTTTAAAGTTTGCGTTGTGTCCTGGAATTGTTGGGGACAACCTGATTTCTGTCTTGAAGTGGACAAAACGGATAATTCTAACCCACGAGATGTATTTTACTGTTCTTCTGTCTCAAATGTAGGCTTCTTTGGGAGGGTCAGAATGAGGCAGATGTATTAGTTTGGGATGACAGGTTTTGAAGCAAGTGGTCCTTGGAAGGTTTCTTATTATACCTGAAAAATATTCCTTTATTTTGCAGACATGGATTTAGATGCTGTTACAAAGCAGTCAGCATTACATGCCAAGCCTGACGGGCTCACCCTTCAATATGGGACTGCTGGATTTCGAACGAAAGCAGAACATCTTGATCATGTCATGTTTCGAATGGGATTATTAGCTGTCCTGAGGTCAAAGCAGACAAAATCTACCATAGGAGTCATGGTAACAGCGTCACACAATCCTGAGGTAATGCATTTAGTGCTCCAGTAAGACAAGCTTTTATTTCCAAGACCAAACCTTAGTTTCTGAGCACTTTGACCCCAATTCAAATTCTAATTCTAGTACTTTGCTTTTTCCTTGTTATATGCCTTTGGTTTTGAACAAGCACTTTTCTTAACAAGTGGTCATTTCGCTCACAACTCTCTAACAGTTGTAGAGAGAGTGAAATGAGACAGTCAATTTTTGGAGTGTGTCCATATTGAGAAATAACACAATGTCCTTCTAACTTAGTTGTATTGAGACATCATCAGTAATAAACAGTGTTGCCTCTGTTAATGTGGCAGAGATTGGAAGAGATTGGAGGCAAGCTGGGGAGGGCAGAGAACAAATTTTTGAAAGGACATAGCACACTTTGAAAATTTTCAGACAGCTTTTCTTTAGCTAGGGAATAGTCTCCTGTTGTGAGAGTGAACAGCTGGACATGTGGCTTCAGGGATCCAGAAGTGAACATTGGACAGGATATTGATCAGGCCTGATGAGTCTAGGGTTTATGACAATCAAGTTTTTTAAAGTATTCCTCTGACACAACTTAATTATCTTATGTGTACTGGCCTATAACTTTAAATAATTTGCTTCTGTTCTGTTCTGTTGCTAGACTTTTGCCTTTGTAGCTAAATCAGCAGCAAGTTAAAGCTGTGGGTTAGTGAAGGATTGTAACTTCTTCCTCTCACACCTGCCCCCCCCTCAGGGGGGTGCAAAACAAGAGGATGTTGCTTATTCAGCTTCTAAATGTGGATTGTTATAACTATGTTAAGTGTTTAAATGTCTAAATCACCACACTTGCTTAATGATTTGTAGGCAGAACCCCAAATTTATTGTTAATTCCAGAAGCACTTCTTGGGATTTCCCTGCTGGCCCAGTGGTTAGGACTCTGAGCTCCCAATGCAGGGGGCCCAGGTTCGATCCCTGGTCGGGGAACTAGATCCCACATGCTGCAACTAAGACCTGGTGCGGTCAAATAAATGAATAATTTTTTTTTTTTTAAAAAGAAGCACTTCTTCAAACAATTTTGAGCTCTTGTCTTCCAATGTGTGCTTTTGAGTGCAGCCACAAGGAGAAGGATCTCCAGGGGCCCTGGGTCTGCTGCAGTTGTCCCTTATCAGTTAACTGATGGTGAATGCACAGATGATAGCCTTTTAAAAAGCTAGCGTGGCACAGCAGCTGTTGGGTGTAAGAGTCAGATAGACTTGATGTTTTTACATCAGCACTGATACTTCCTAGCTGTATGAACATAAGCAGATGACTTGCTATAAATCTCAGTTTTCTCAGAGAGTGGCGTAACCACAGGAGGATTAGTTAGATTGATGACATGTGTTATGAGGGTTTACTGAGGTGATGTACATACTTTACCTGGCCTAGCACCTGGCCTTCAGTCGTGGTCACCAGTGAAACTGCCCAGCCGTCACTGTCTTTTGCTTGGAGGGAAACAGCTTGGGTTTACTTCCTCACCTCTCCCTCATGACTGTGCACAGATGACTTATTACTTTTTTTTTTTTTAGGAAGACAATGGTGTAAAATTGGTGGATCCTTTGGGTGAAATGTTGGCAGCATCCTGGGAGGAGCATGCTACCTGCTTGGCAAACGCTGAGGAACAACATTTGCCGAGAGTGTTGGTGGACATCAGCGAGAAGGCAGCCGTGGATCTGCACCAAGATGCCTTCGTGGTGATTGGTAGAGATACCAGGTGCCTGTCAGAGCCACGGTGAAAGCTGATTTTTGAATGCCACATAAATGGTTGTATCAGTTTTAGCACCCAAGACAAATGGAAAGAGTCAAGTGGAATGGAACCACCCTGAGAGGTTCCTCCTGGTCTTTTCAGTAGGATGTAGGAGTTAAGTCACTGCTACAGCTTGGGCTTGCTGTTCGAGCCCCAACTCTCAAGCTTTCTGTATGAGTTGAGCAAGTCACTTAACCTTTTGGAGC